GAGGACCAGGATTAGACACCCCTGCTCTAAAGCAAAGACCAACAAACTGAGAAACAGTTTCTTTCCAAGAGCCATCACCATCATGAAGTCTCACATGTAAAATATCCACTTTACCTCAGTAAGACTCCTCCACTATGTGCAGTATGTAAATACTCACTATCTGTACATAAATATTCATAATCTGTATGTAAATATCCATTATCTCGTGGAATATTTCTTAAATCTTTTATTCCTTTTTATATATTTAGCCCTTCTTTCTTTTTTAAGTTATTTTTTTGGCCTTTGTGCCTTTATTTGATAGTGAAGTGAGAGAGAGACAGGAAAGTGGGGGAGAAGAATGGGGGGAGGACATGTGGGAAAGGGCCATGAGCGGGATTAGAACTCATGACCTCCACATCGGGACTGTAGCCCTGTACATAGGACACCAGCTCAACCAGGTGAGCTATAGCGGCACCCCATATTTAGCCTTTCTTATCTTTATATTTTACTGAGCAATTTTGCACTCTATTTTGTTTTGAGCAATTTTGCACTTTATTTTGTTTTTACTTGCACTGAAAATAGGAGAAGCTCTCCAATCTCGTTGTGCACTGTGTAATGGCAATGAAAGGGCATTCATTCAAGCATTCAACCCTTTATTATTACTTTACCTTTGTGGCCCAGTGGTGGCCAAGTGTCGAAATGAAATTTTAGTTATTGAAAGCGGACACTTTAACAGGATAAAGATCGTAAGAACACTAAATCCACCAAGAAATTACTTAAAAAAGCATAAATAATCTGAATTAATGAATGGCCTAGTCAAAGCACAGATCTGAAGTATTGGGGGTGTATTTGAAATGGGCAGTACATGCACATACATGTGATGCAATTAATTACGGTCCAAGTTCCTTCATGTAAACAGCTGCTCAACTTCCCTTGCAAGACTACAAAATTCAGATCAGTGAATGAGACTGTCAAGTCTGTGTGCAATCAAATATATTCAAAAGTGACTGGATTTTTAAAATGATAAGGGATTACTTCTAATAGTACCAGAGAGAGATGAATAGCAGTGACACCAGTGGGGAGGCAGTCACATTTGACTTTATTCAGACAAATGTATTGTTTTGTTAAGACAGCATTAAATACTGATGCATTAGGAGAAGTTTTGCCGGGTTACATTACAGAGTTTAAGTGTCAAAAGTGCATTGTTTTGGTATTGGTAAAACAATGATCAGCAATCTGATATTTTCATAGATTTTTCACAATTCATAGGACAACAAAAACCTCACATCATATTTATGTGTCTAGACTCAATTTGCAATATTGATGTTATATCTATGTAAACTTTCTTGCTTTGAAAATTCAAGCTGAAACCATACCAAACTCAGCTGGACATAACCTGGAAGTGAAGTAGTACCTTGCTAGAGACATCTTAGTCTTACTTTGCCAGCCCTTTCTGTAGAAACATCTTAATCAACATATTGATCCAGCAGCCTAAAATAATTTTAAGGCCTAATCTGATTTAAATGTGAACCACCAAAACTTCACTGGCAGAGGTGGAGCCTATACCAACATGTGACTGACGGGTGGTTTAATACATGGCCTGAGACGAAACCAATATGAGCACCAAAGTGAGCATGCCTGTCTTCAATAATGGTCAGTTTATAAAAATGCATCTTGTAAATCTGTATCTGCAACTGTGAATGACATATTTCATCTCCTGTAAATATACCAGCAACCTGTACAATAAACACAAGGTTAAAGGCCTTTAACAGTGAAAAAGAATGCCATATTCACATCATACGTTAGAGGGAAGAACCATTTACACCAGACTCCTAGTCATGATTCTACAGAACGACAGTACAAAATGTTAAGAGTCAATAAACTGTGGCAAAGTTTATGAAAAACAGTCCTTACTTGCAGTTATACCCAAATAAATTCCAGTATTGACAGTAATTTCAAGTAATAAAAAAACAAAACTATACACTGTATCTGGTTACACAGAGCATTTCCCTGGAGGGTTAGCAGTCAGGATAGCCATCTTGAAATACTGAGCCAATGCTCCAAAGTATGAATTACAGAAGGTCTGAAGGCAACCGTTAAGTGGGTGTATTCTCTTGAAGCCTGGTAGTATACAAACAATAAATTCAAACTCAGTATGCACAAATAGGTTTGCACATTAAATATACTGCTCTGCCCTTTCAAATGTGTACAGATCAATCTTGGCTTTTCAGTCTTCATATATTAGGATTATTTCTTATGTTCAATTATTGCAAAGCTCTGTGCCACCTGCTCCTCCTCTTCCAGACCCGTTTCCTCTCTTTCAGGACCAGCTCCTTCCTGTTGACCCGTGTGTCTACTGCCTGTACAGCTGTGACCGACTGTTGCTGTCAGTCAGTGATGCACAGTGTGCTGTTTCTGCTCTTTCATCACTGTCGGATCAGACACAGAGGATCTGCATCTACTAGCATCACGGCGTAGTGCTGGACCTGTCACCATCACCTGCTTCCTCAGATTCTGTGTCTCTCTCTGTGCTTGATTTCTCCTCTTTTTTACTCCTTTCATTATTTGTGTTCTCTTCGTCTTTGTTCTCCGGCACACAGAGTTGTCCCATCCTGTCTGCCAGCTCTCTCAGCTCCTGCTCTTCATCCCCTGAGTTTAGGGAGGGACACTCTGTTCTGGCCAGTCTTTTATGTTGTCCATCTGTGAAAATCAGTTTCATACTTAGACTAGATGATTTAATTCAGTTTCAGTCCAACCAATAACAAAAAAAAGAAGAAGAAGAACAAAAAGAAATCCAAAACATATTTAAACACGTCACAAAAAACGATCATGCATTTAATGTTTTCAGATTTATTGTAGGTCTTCTAGAAATATGACAAAATCTGCTAGGTCAAAAATATACATAAGCAATTTGAATTATCAGGTTTGGTGGTGTAGGAAGCTGTGTTAATCTAATTCTTAGTAGCATGAACTCTATACTTCTAATGAGTGAATACGATTAAGTACAGCTGGTGACTCCACTGAGCTGGTTTAAGTTAGGGCCCATATGATCCACTCATTACAATCAGCCGCAAATGCTACAAAATGAAGATGTGAGGAGCTTAGCACAGTTCTGAAAAACAAATTGTTGACTTGAACAAGTCAGGAAAGTCATGTGGACAGTCAGGAGGAAAACAAACTGTGACATGCTGCAGAGATACAGTTTATTAAGATGGTCAAGAGTCAACCAACAACAACCAAAATGCAGGTTTGCAATGAATCAAAAGCTGCTGGAACACAGTGGTCAGCGTCCACAAGTGTGCTTTTTATGCATGTTTACACCTTTTATACCATCTCAGGAACTGTATGACAAACATATCATGTTTGATTTCATCTTCACAACCTGTTCCGTGGTATTTCAAATTTGTAATCATTGTAAATATTTAACAATTGGATTTTATGTTTAACAAATGAATTAAGTACTAAATGCATTTGGCCTCTGACCTCTCATGGACAGTGAAGTTCAAGATCAGCCCTTGGAATGAACAGATCCATGACGGGTTAGACGCAGATTGGAATTTGCCTCCAAAAAACTTTGCTGTGTACCATTTTATTGGGTTTGTTTTTCTTTGTTCTTAATTTAGGGCTTTTTACTTTACTTTTACTTAAAATTGTGATTTCTTGCATTAACGTTTACAATGAACAGCACAAACACTGTCCTTGTAACTATGAGCTCTGACTCTTAGTTTATTTACTCTAGTATTTTTGTAGTATATTTGTGGCACACATTTTACTGTGCAAAGGTGCTGTCCTGTCTCTGTGTTCCTGAACCATCTCACTCGGCAGATCTCGACAGAGACACATCCTGCTGCAGTCCTCTCCCTCCGAGCATGGAGCATCAGTACACAAGTATTACTTTCTTTCTGCTAAACGGGTGAATTCAGAAATTCAATTTTTAATAGAAAATAGAAAAAGTGGCATCTCAATTCTTATGCAATTCTAAATTGATCACCACTAACAACTGCATCAAGTGAATCTAATGATTAATTAACTTGTTTGTTTACCTGCATTCTGTGATTCACCGTTATCTGTTGTGTCATTGTTGTCTTATTGTTTGTTTGTAGCAGGAGTTTATAAATATTTTACGTATTTCTGGAGGTCAATGAAATCTGAATTTAAAAGACTGATCAATACAAGTGGATTTGATGATTAATTAATATTCAATCTGAAATATTTGTATAATTTTCAGCTAACATGGTGGTACCCAGATAAATGAGTGCAATTTTAATCATAAAGTGTAGATTAGCTATATAAAGTGTAGTTACACTACACTAAGCCTTTAAACCCCCAGAACACCAAATCCACAGTCAAGCACGGTGGTGGTAGTATCATGCTCTCACAAAGTAAATGGAATAATGAAGAAGACAGATTACTTTCAGATTTGTCAGGAAAACAAAAAATCAACAGCCAGAATGTTGAGTCTTGGGCACAGTTGGGTGGTAAGGAAATGCCTAAATCAGGTTAGAATTATGGTTTTAGACTGGCCACCCCAAAGTCCTGACTTAAACCCCAACAAGAACCTGAAGGCTATGCTGAAGAAACAGGTCTGTGTCAGAAAACCAACAAATTTCACTGAACTGCACCAAGTCTATCAAGTGGAGTGGTCAAGGATACAACCAGAAGCCAGAAGCTTTTGGACGACTACCAAAACTGTTCACACGGTGAAAATGGCCAAGCATTAGCATTGCTGTATGTACATTTTTGAAACAGCAGATTTTGTCATATTTCTAGAAGACCTATGAAAAATATATAAATGACCAAAATGCATGATTGTTTTGTGTGTGTGTGTGTGTGTGTGTGTGTGTGTGGCAAAGATACATGTGTTTCAATGATTCCTTGGTAGAAAATTCAGAGGTGTAGGAGTCATTGGAAACCCAAGACTGCCATGATATACATGGTCTTTACAAGTATGTAAACTTTGCTTCACACCTATATATTTGAGCAGCAGTTCTGGGCACCCCCCAGCAAATTACACATCATGTTGAATTGTTTAAATAAAAAGAAGTAAATACATCTCTTGCAGCAAACAGGGTTTCTTTAAATGTTGATGTAGTGTTACCTTTTATTTGATAAACTAAAAAACAGACAGAATGAACAGTAATTTCAACACACACAAAAGTTTTGGCACTGTGTGTCAGCTGTGCGTGTGCGCTCTTTACCGGCTTGTTGCTGCGTACTGTCAGGAGGCTCTGCTGTGACCGGAGGCTTCAAACTCTGCTCTGCTTTGGGTCCAGTCCTCAGTGTGATTTGCAGGGAAACAGCCCAAGGACCACCAAGCTCGTTATCAACTGTTCCATCAGTGCTACTGAAGCTGCTGCTAGTGGGGTCTCTTGGGCCGGTGGTTCCACCACTGTTCTTGTAATTATAACCACTATCACCAAGTACTTCATCAGCCCTGTTACCATCAGTTCTACTGACGATAGTTTTAGCAGCTGCTTTGGTGCCTTTAATACTGTGTCTTTCGGTGAGCTCAGCTTTATTCCTGCTCATGCTGCTTTGTGCTTTGTGAGGTTCCTCTGAGAGCAGAGGGCGGCCCCTAAAAGCTAGGTCAGGGTAGGTCCTCTGCATCTCCATAATGGACTGGTCTACACTGATGAGGTGGCCGCACTGAAGCTTAGAATTAGGGTTCACTGCAAGTCTGGTGTCTAAATAGAGAGGTACCTGGAAAAAACAAGACAGAGTACAGTTTAGTACAGGCTGCAGTTAGTCCATTAAGGCTGGTTATGTTTCTAAATGTTGATTTGAATATATTCATTAAATAATTGACTACAAAAAGTTTGCATGGCTGTCTAGGCTTACAGTTTTATAGCTTCCCACAACACTCAACATAACACGGGAAAACAAGAGGATTTTTCTTTACACTATGACAATAGTTAACGTAGGTTTATCTAGATTTATGTCCTTATGCATAAAAAATGGTATTGTGAAACTGATGTAAAAACTCTAAAATATGTGCTATTGTGTGCTCACACGCACTTGAATGTACATGTGTTCACTTGACTGAGTGCATGTCAGGTGTGTAGGGGCTGTTGTGTGCCATTACTTGCAGATTCCACTGTTTGGTATATGTACTTAAAAACTGAATTCAACCAGCAGTGTTTACTTTTTGAAGTCAATAGTGAGATACGTTTGGTAAGTGATAGATGGGATTTTATTAAATATGAAAACAACCAGTTTGTGTGTTTAATTTCACAACAACATGGTTAAGCTGCAAAAAAAAAAACCAGTTCCTAAAATGTGAATAATAGCACATTTTAATATTATCCTTTCATAATTGTATTTTATTATTTTGATTAACAATTATGAAATCATTTGTTTTGAAATACTTGCTTTGCAGCGGATTACATTTTAAATCTAAAGTGGCATGGTCTCATTGCATGCTGCTATTTAAACAGCTGGCCCATCACAGTTCGTATAATAGGAACGTTTTATTGCAGATATTAACATTTTTGAACAGGGCATCAAATTATACTGGTTGACATTAATTTCTCTTTGGTCCCACAGCCTCTTTTCTTTCTTTTTCTTTTTTCTCCTCAATCTCCAACAAGTCAACCAGCCCTGTACCCTACCTCTTCTTTCTTTCTCCCCTCCTCTTCATCTTCCTTTTGTCCTTCTATTGTCTTTTTTTCCATGAGTTCCATTAGTTTTGTAGGCCGCACTCTCCTTTGAAGAACCTCCAGACACTCCTGCAGTGTACAATCATAGCAACAGGAGAGGAGAAATGACAGTTAAAAATATATGTATGACAAAAGTTACAAGTACAGATGGTAGTGCAATAGTGTGTTCCCCTGTCACACAAAGATGGGCTGTTCTACAGTGTCATGTTGAAAGGTAAGACAGATTTTTTAGAAACCCATTCTGTTTGACAATGGAACTGAATGACACTGTTAGACAATGGGTCAGTCTGCATCAAATCAGGCAGAGTTCAGGAAATATGTGGTGGCACCATCTCAGATTTTTTTGACAGTTTACTTATTTGTTATTTGGAACCCAAAACTAAGTTCTGTTAAATATTTTTGGCTGAATCCTAAGGATTTCCTATGTTTTCAGATCTGAAAAGTTTGGTAATTTCATCCTCAAAAAACAACTAGTCTGAAAAGCCATTTTAAGGGTTTAGTATCTCCAGAGATTCCCACAGCCATGAAATTTGGTGTGGACACAAACAAAATTGTTTGCAACAGATCCAAATGATTGAATGGCTCCAGCAGGGGCAAGATTTTAATTATTATCCCTTGAAAATAGAAAAAAAGTACAAAAATGTTCCCAGAAAGTTCCTGTCGGTTTATATATACAATTGTGTCCATATTTCCTACGAAAAATGCAGTCTTTGGCTGATATTCCACCTACTTTTGAGATCTCTAACATCAGTAGAACTTGATATGTGGCAAGTATGGCAAGACAAGGCTCCATTTTTTTTGCTATTTTGACACTAAGTGTGATTTGGACCATAAAAAACGGATGTGCATAGGCTTTATATATTGTCATGTGTGCAAAGTTACAAGTGGCTTCCATGTTGCCTGTATATTGAAATTTAAGCACGAGGCCTCACCAAATGTCCCTACACATGGCACGTGCTATAACAACAAAACAAGTGAAATAGGAGGTCAATGTTGTACTAAAAATAACAAAAGACAAAAATTCAAGGTCATCATTCCCTAATGGATTATACATTTCATTTATTTGCAGAGAGGTAATTCTCAAAAGCCATTTCGCTATCGCTAAAGTTTGTATTGTCCTCTCCCTGTCACTGTAGCTCGCATGGATAAAGAAGCGAATGACGTGAGGGTAACCTTAATGTACCTAGGTGGGCCAGCTGCATTGTTCAGTTGGCCTCTATCTGATGAAGACTGAGGAATGCCAGTAGTACATGTTCTGTCACTCCTCCCAGCTCCCCTCATAGGTAACATGGATACATCCATACATATTCAGTTTAACGGCTGTGGGAGCTACATTTCTAGAGATACTGAACCCTTAAAATGGCTGCCCATGTAAGACCTTTGTTAAAGTTGGAATTTTTAAAAACCCCAGGTCTATAGAACTTAGTTTTTGGTCCCAAATAATAAATAAGTAAATACTACAGTATTAAACACAATGTTTTCCATAGTGTTCTACATGACACTCAAGTTGAAGATGTATTGCCAGGTACCAGATGACTTTGGAACCTTGGGTTGATACAATCAGGGCCTGTAGCCTTGCCTTAGTAAGGTCTCTCCAGCTATTCTCTAACCTAGCTGGTCATTACAGGCATTTGGGAGAACGTGGTCAACCCAGTCAGAGATGCTCAAGTCTGTAATCTGCTTCATGCTCATCCACAAGTTTTGCAAGAGATTATTTTCCAACTTCTTTCTGCAGGAGTTCTTGCACTCCCTCAGTCCCAGGTCCTGAAGTTTCTCTTCTTTTGATTCAGCAGATACCTCATTTCATTGGTGATAAAATGTTTACTACTGGGAAAACAGCATACAGTCCTAGTTGGGATGGTGGTATCCTTACAGAAGTAAATGTACTCTGTGATGCAGAAGGCATTCTTTAAAACATTTCTGCATGGCCTCACTGGTCCATATTAGGGGAGTGAACAAACTGGTAGACAGTTGAGGAAATAGAGTTCAGATTACCATGATTGAAGTTTCTAAATGGTCATAAAAGCCTCCGGGTATTAAGATTTTAACCTAGCAACAGTGGTGTCACATGCAACTGTCTTATCAGCAAATGGTAGTATTGAAACCACGATGAGCAGAGGAAGAGCATTCCCATGCCAAATAATGTGGATACATCCCCAAGAGTTCAATGACCATGGAGCAGATGTATTCATTCAGGGTAATATGTCATGGACTGCACCATTTTCAGTTACAAAAACTGCAATCCCTCCACCTTTCGGCTTATTGCTCAGTGTAATGTGGGATACAGGCCAGGAATGAATGGCCATAAAACTGAAGACTTGGTTAGAATATTTTTGATCTTACTTGCGGCCCCAGTTGATCCTTCTCCAGGAGTTCCAGGAGGTGGTAACATTCCACCCTGGCCAGCAGCAGTTCGAAGCCCACCAGCATAGCTCTGTCTATGTTAGCATCATCACTGAGCCTGAACTCACTGAATACATCAAAGACAAAGGAGAAGATCTGACATAACAAAAATGAGAAGAGCAGAACAAATGCTCTCCTCAAAAATGACAGCAGCTGTTGTTAGCCATTCCCAACATGCCAGATTTCTTTGAGCTTTGTTTTTATTACAGTCAAGCATTCTTTGTATGTCTGTATTCCGCTATGTCTGACATTGCCGTGAAAACCTGGACTCATTTTTTATGGTTGCTCCTTCTCCCTTATTTACCCATTTGGCTCATGCAGCCATTCTTAGATCCTAAAGAAATATTTAATCTTTAACACATATGGACACTTTAGTGCTTTACACACAGTTCATGTTCACATGTTCAGACAAATTCAAGAGAAAGTATGAAAACACTTGTGAATGAGACCTCTCTTGGTGCCATTTTCTTGAAATGCTTTGCCTTGTATTTACAAGTGGACATGTGTATGGTGTATATTTGTCCTGACGTAGATACGTCTTAGCAAAATTAGAAACAGGCTTAGAAGCTCAATATCTTCAGTATTTATTGTCACTCTTGTTCAGGTTCTTTTCTTTGTTACTTACCTTTGTGGGGCCTTAGCATGGGGCAGGTAGCCGATAGAGGTCAGGACAGACTGAATGGTGGATCTGCTAAGGACTGGCAGCAGACAGTAAACAAAAGGACCGGTAAAAGTCTAAAAGAGAAATTAAAGAATGGAAATTAAGGCTCTTTTAGAGTTATTCACAGCAAGCTATGTAGAGAGTTCGACATTCACAATTTTCAAAAATAAGCATGCCACGGCTCCATAGCTGAAATCCAGAAATATAGCATGGAGACATTAATTGTGTCAATTTGCTGCTATGCACTAATGCTAAACAATATTTAAAAATGTCTGTTCACACTTAAAATGTGACTAAATCAAAACATGAAGAATGCTGAAAGTGATGTGAAACACCCCAAAAAGGTAAAATATCACAGCATACTGTTGCAATTCCATGTTTAAATACCCAACTTTACATCAGAAAACAAACACGTATAGCCTGGTACAAAAAAAAAAACCTCACCCTTTTCAATGGTACAAAGGCTTACAGACTTACGCATAATTAAGGGTGTAGCCACCTGAGGACAGTGCAATTTTAGGACAAGCACATGGCTCTGAGAAATTTGCATCGCTCTCCTGAGTTCCACTCATGCTTCACCTCTTTGCCTATTTTTGCATTATGCGAGAGTCAGGCTTTGCCAAGACAACAGCTGGAGCCACCACACTGAGCAATTCAGGAAACCTATAGGCGGTGTCATTGACGGTTTGCTGTTTTACACATTCATGTAAATGCTACTTTGACATGTATTAGGGTACTTCAAAAAAGTTCTCAGCTTCACTCAGAAACAAGGGAGGTAAAACTCAAACGTCTAAAGCAATTACAGAAAAAAAGAAAGGAAAGCATCCACAGTCAAGTGTGTTTTACATTGCCGTGGGCTGACAAGTTGCTGTGCAAAACTGAGGCCCTTCCTCTAGAAACAACTAAAGTTCAGGCTCAACTAAAGTTTACTGGTGATCACATGGACAAATAAAAGGCCTTTTGGCGGAAATTTTGGCAGTCAAATGAAACAAAAACTGAGCTATTTGGCTACAATGACCAGATGTATGCTTGGAGAAGAGAAGGTGAGGTCTTTACCCGTAAGAACACTATACACACTTTCAAGCATAGGGGTAGTGGTATTATGATGTGGGTCTGTTTTGCTGCCTGTGGAACTGGTACTTTACACAAAGTAAATAGAATAATGAGGAAGGAGGATTACCTCCACATTCTTCAGGAAAAAATAAAATCATCAGATAGAAGGTTTGGTCCTGGATGTATTTGGGTGCTCCATCAAGACAATGACTTCGAACATGCATCAAAAGTGGTAAAGAAATGGCTAAATCCAGCTAGAATTAAAGTTTTAGACTGGTCTACCCAAAGTCTTGATTTAAACCCCAACAAGAACCTGAAGGCTATGCTGAAGAAACAAGTCTGTGTCAGAAAGCCAACAAATTTCATTGAACTGCACCAATTCTGTGAAGAGCAGTGGTCAAGGACACAATCAGAAACTTACCAGAAGCTTGTGAATGGCTACAAAAAACTGTTGAGTTGAACATGGCATGAAAAAGAGACATTTTACCAAATATTAGCATTGCTGTATGTACATTTTTGAGCAGATTTTGTCAAATTTCCAGAAGTCCTATAAAAAATATATGAAAGCACTAATATGCATGATTGTTTTTGTTTGGTTTTTTTTTGACAAAGATGCATGTGTTTCAATGATTTCCTTGGTAAGACTTTAAGAGTTATACGAGTCATTGGAAACTCAAGACTGCCATTATATACATGGTCTTTACAAGTATGTAAACTTTTGCTTGCAACTGTCTCCGTTTCCCAAACTAAAATCCTACTTGTGTGGTTGCTATTTTCAGTGTTGATGAAGTCACCCATGCTTGTGATAAGTATCTGGAAGCTGAAGGGATAAGCAAAGCTTAAACATCAGTGGATCAAGTGCATTACAGTTAAAGGAGACTATGTTGAAAAATAATGCATGAACAGACTTCTGTGACATTTTCTGATGAGGCTGAAAACTTTCTGAAGAACCCTCGTAGCAACAGTTACAAACGCAGGACATGGAGTCAGGGAGGAGGTGGAACATAAAGTGAACTTTACTTATAAACCGATAGAGGATTACAAAATGTCCAAGCAGCTGACAAAACACTGGGAGGAGATCAAAATCACAAGCAGGCACAAAAATTAAAACTATAAACTCAAAATCCTTAAAGGTATAGTGCGAACATAGCTAAAAAAAACACAGACAAATAACTTAGGCAGGTAAACAGGGGATGAGCAGGGAACTGATGCTGGAAACACAGATGAGCTATAGAGTGGAACTGACAACTGAAAAGGGGAAGGACTGAACTATAAATAAACAGAGAGGCTAATGGGAAATGACTCAGGTGAACGCGAAACCAGGAAAATGAGAGCAGAAAAGTGAAAGGGTTCAGGCCGATAACTCAATAGCAGGGGAATTTAGAGACTGGAGAACACAGAGGACACAGAGTCATCTCCCCCGCACCAAGAACAGGCAGACACGTGAAGCTTGTGGGATGTTCCAGGTGTGCAGGGGTTTGTACCATTACAACAAAATCATAGCTGCTGCTGCTGCTGCTCACTGATCAATGTTGGGAGCAAAGGCTTGCCCATGTGCTTCGATGCTTCAGAGGAGTCACTGTTGCATGAAACGCCTGAGGGAGGCAAGCCAGTGAATCAAGTGTGATGCAAATTTTAGGATAAAAATGATGCTATCCACTATCCAAAAGGACAACAGTAAACTTCACTGTGACATTCTAAAGTTCAGCAAAACCGTTTTTTTTGCCCATTAAACATGTGTGTAAACTGCAGTTTGACTGGTTGGCAGAAGCATCCAACCATGAGGTGGGGTTTCCAGTTCACCTGCTCCATGACAAACCATATTTGCTTCACCTTTACTGTACTGGTGGAATTTCAGAGTCAGATGAAAATCTATTTAAATAGCCGGATACCACTTGCAAATAAAAAAACAGTGGCTTCTTATTTGTATGTTATTTTACTCAGGTGCTCTCTTTACTTTTTGGTCATTAGTGTGAAGCCACATTATGAATGGAACTGAACTCCAGAAGTCCTGCAGGACAACAACGCACCTGAACCAACACTTGGTCTGACTTTACAGTGTTTAAATAATTGAACATTCTGGCACCGTTGAGCTTTTTAACTGAACTATCTGACACTAATAGACACTAAACTGAGATCGAGAACGTGAACACAGATGAGAGTGTCTGAAGAAAGAAAGAAAGAAAGAAAGAAAGAAAGAAAGAAAGAAAGAAAGAAAGAAAGAAAGAAAGAAAGAAAGAAAGAAAGGCGCCACCTTGAGAGTCTTGATTTCCTTCTTCCAGGGTTGAAGGAACAGATTGACGCAGAGAGTTTCCAGCAGCTCGGTGGCCTTGATGAAGGCAGACAGGTGTTTCCTGCAGTCTATGCTCTCAGTGCCACAGCCCTCTGTCACTTCTGTCACCGCCTGGTAGAACGGGAACACCGTGAAAGTCCCGGCGGGCTCGGCTCCCCTCAGGAGATACCGAGCCACCTCCTCCAGCAGTCGGGCGTCGCGGCACGGCCGAACCTCGGAGCTCACCTGGAGGTAGTAATTCAGGTAATGTTCGTAAACGTCCTGGCGGTAAACGTCGTCCCGCTCTGCTGCTTCGGTACCGTCCTTCATGACTTCAGACCTGTCCGACTACAACAAGGAAGTATTGCTGTCGAACAACCTGACGAGGAAGTGAAAGTGAGAGCAGCTGAGCCCAGACAGCGCTCCTTTATAGTTTAAACGTTCAAACATCTGGGTTTGATTCGGTAGATAAGGTTGGTGTGAGAATGAAAACACCTGGTTGTATGTAAAATTACAAGATGAACGTAAAAAACATAAAAATGGTTCATGTTAATCATTACTCTTAATAAGCGTACTTTAGTATATTAAACATATAATTTTAAAGCATTTTAAAGTCAAGGGGCGAATATTACATTAATTACATTATAGTGTAAAATATCTTGAATTTTTGCGGTGGAATTATGTAGTGGTATTTAAAAAAAAACAAAAACAAAAAAAAGATTATACGGAAACACATGTTGACGTTTGTCTGGAATACTGTTAAACAAGCGGGGGATGCTCCACTATGTTATCAATAACAAAGTCTGTCTGGGTGTTTACAACAACCTAAAAACGTGTCCACATATTAATAGTTGTAATGTATATTTTGAAAATCCTCGCCCGGATGTGTTGATGTTCGCTTCCGGGGCAGCCTTGTCTCGTGCTGCTGTTGGTTCAGCGTCCTGTGAGAACCAGAACCCGAGGCAGAGTCCGGTCTGTGGAGGTGAGTGAGCTCTGATCAGCTGTGATGAGGCTGTCTGGTCCAGACACTCGTAGGTGTTTGAACGTAGAACGACATTTTATTTTATTTTTTCGTATAACGACATCTTGTAACTACCTCGTGCCTGTCGGTACACAGGAGTTTTTCAGGTGACCAAAAGAACCAGTGTCTGGGTCTGTACCTGTAGCTGTGGCACGGATCAGCATCTCACCGGTTCTGAACTAACACTCCATACGCAGTGCAGCTTCAGAGTTTGGACAGCCTTTCTCATTCAAGAGCTTTGCTTTATTGTCTGTGGTTAAAAAAGCAATTTATAGAGCCAAAGAATCAACATATGCTTATGTAGTAAATCAGAAACTTGTTGAACAAACCAAAGTGTTTCCTGTACACAGGAGTGTACTGAGTGTTTCTGATCACAGTTTTTCATACTCTGGCCAGTCTTGTTGCCAGCTTCATGATTCATGTTCACATCTCCTCCAATTCTTATGCAGCACACTTTCATATGCAGAGCACCGGTTGACTGGTGTTTGTCACTCTGCAGACCAACTCATCCAAACCATCTTGTTTAGGTTTGGATTGTGGGATTGTGGAGGCCCAGTCAGCTTATGCAGCTCTCCATGCTGTCAACCCTTGCAGACTTGGGTACTGATGTCATTCTGTCATCGGTCACTTTGCTACTATTGTTCCTCACACCTTCAGTGTCATAGAGAGCCCCGTTACACCTGTGATATTTGTAATTTATGCAAGATCATATGATACACCTATTGATGGGTAGTAGTGCATAATAATGCAAGAACAGATTAAAATTAAATGTGACCAGGGTGCATTTCCAGACATGAAGCTGATACGTTCAGCTGCTGTCAGAATAACAGAATTCATTGTATGTCTGAAAGAGATTGTATACGGGCTATTTTTCTTGATAAAACAGCCCTCAAAGAGCTTAGAGGAGCCCAGTGCATCATGGGTATCCCCCAGCAGTCTAAACCTGTAGTAGCATAGCTAAGGGACAGTTCAGGTGATCCTGAGCAGTTCTAACTACAGTGCTGTGAAAAAGCATTTGCTCCCTTCTCAAATTCTTATTTTTTAAAAATATTTTCCCCACCTTAATGTTTAAGACCATCAAAGAAATGTAAATATCAGACAAAGATAACCCAAGTAAACACAAAATGCAGTTTTTAAATGATGATTTTATTTATTAAGGAAAGCAAGCTATTCAAAGCTATGTGGCCCTATGTGAAAAAGTAATTACCCCCTAAACCTAATAACTGGTTGGGTCACCCTCAGCAGCAACAACTGAAATCAAGCGTTTTCTAGAACTGGCAATGAGTCTTTCACATCTCTGTGGAGATATTTTGGCCCACTCTTCTTCGTAGAATTGTTTTAATTCAGCAATACTGGAGGGTTTTGGAGCACGAACAGCCTTTTTAAGGTCATGCCACAGCATTTCAATCAGATTCAAGTCCAGACTTTGACTAGGTCATTCAAAAACTTTCATTTTGCTTTTATAAGCCATTCAGAAGTGGACTTGCTGGTGTGTTTTGGATCGTTGTCCTACTGCAGAACCCAAGTGCGCTTCAACTTGAGGTCATGAACTGATGGCTGAACATTCTCCTTCAGGATTTTCTGGTAGAGAATTCATGGTTCCATCAATCACAGCAAGTCGTCCAGATCCTAAAGCAGCAAAGCAGCTCCAGACCATCACACTACCACCACCATGTTATGAATGGTCTGTATGGACTGAGGGGACGGTGAAAGAAATGAAGTCCTGGGAGCAAATGCTATGGCTTGACTGTTTGCGTGAAATGTAGGATGATAAGTAAACAGGCAGCAAACCAAGGATGGACCTAAAAATACTTGCTTCAATTGTACTTTTAAATGTAAATGTGGATTTTGATTCTTTGGTTTCTTTGTTCAAATTGTTCCATAAACTGATCCCTTTCACAGAAACACAACGCCCCATCACTTTTGTTCTGAATTTGGGCTCTTTAAAGATCTCAGTTACTTTCTCTTTTTCAAATCTTTTCTGAATGATTATTGGTAATATTTTTTATTTGCTTTGATCATTTGGTTATCTTTGCCGAATATTTAAATTTGTTTGATGGTCTTAAACATTGAAGTGGGGGAAATATTTTTTAAAAAATAGAATTCGGGAAAGTGGCAAATACTTTTTCACAGCACTGTATAATCTTTATCAAAGAGGAAGGTTTTAAACCTGATCTTCAAACTGCAGATAGTGTCTGCCTCCTGAACCCAAACACAGAGATCAGAGATGTAAAACATCAAAGATGACTTGGAAGAAGAGATTACCTTTATGTAGTGTTGTCAAAATCTAGATTTTTCAGTACACATTGATTTCTTAATATTTCAAAAAGTTTCAACAAACATTTTCCGCAGTATTGTCACACCAGTACTACTTCCTCTCTCCACCAGCTGACACACAGGCACTGGTCAGCATCGTCCTGCCTTCTCCTGCTCCCTTCTGTTGTCACTCCACATTTGATTAGTGCTTCATTTGATTTCTTTTACTCATATGTTACTTGAAAATGCATAAGAATGCATTGCTTTTCTTCTAAATTTCACTGTAGTTCTCTTTGGACTAATAGACTGTTGATATGATGGGACAAAGAAGACGCCTTGAAATGCAGCATGTTGTCCCTTTGTTATATTCACATTTTAATCAGATATTGTTAATTTTCTGTTTTCATTGCAACGCAGTAAGATGTTCCAGTGACATCAATACATTTCTGTCGACTAGTAACCTATCCATGTGGTGGTCTAAAGGGGCATTTCATGTCCACCAGTTGTCAGGACAGTGGTACTAAGTGACATGCTGATGTGAGGTAATTGGGCAGCGCTGAATATCGGAATATCATCATTCCAAAATATATGTAGAGTTGCTTTGAGGCATTCATACCATCAGCAATAGAACACACATTTCAGATATGACAGTCAGATCTTCTTTGGCAGCTGTGAACTTCAGCCCCTCATCACTGGTGTCCTACCTGTACGTCATACTGTGTGACATCAGGTTGTATTGCTTTGGTGTCCTCTTCAGAAAATGGGGGAAAAAACTCTTTGTTCCTCTATCACGTAGCTGATATGAACAGTTGTATTTTGTTTTTTGTCTGTCATGTGTGAACATATGAATGTAACGTTGCATCCATCTGAATCTGAAGAATTTTAGCATGGTGGTGCACATATCTGTCATGAATATAACTATTCTTAACTTGGTGGTCACTAGCCCTTTCTGGTCTCACTTTGTCATTCAGTTGAAAGCTTTGAAATAAACTAGCATGTGTGGACTACCTTGAGTTTGGAAAATGTTTGTCCCTGGCTGTGAGTTGGTCATGGCAGTACATCCTTTCACCTTTAGTGATTAGTTGTGTTCTGTTGATCCTGAAACTGCACTAATGACAACTTTGATAAAGTGATGCATTTTCATGGTATGTAGAGTTACAAATAATCTAATAAGAGGAAAGAGATGTTTTTTTGTCTCAGCATTAAACTGTTGTACAGCTGCTCTTGGGTACATAGAACAGAACTGGTTAGGTATTCAGTCTACTAATGTACACTGTAGCTGGACCCAGCACTTTTGAGAAGCAGTGATTTAATGAAAATTCTTGTTTAAAGGCAAGTGCAGAGGTCATACTATGATTCCCCTTTCTTATTTCCTCCTTTAAGTCTTGCTCTGTCTGTTCATTTGCAGGTCGGAGAAACACAGACATGAAGAGCAGAAGTAGTGGCTGTGTGGACGGTCATCTCAAACAAAGAGTGGAGCAGGTACCAGTCAGTCCTTGTTACTCTCAGGCTGTATGTCAGGGTTGTTTTTTCAGCAAACTAGGAAAATTTAAAAAAAAAAAAATCAAAAATCATTAAAATCACCATGTGGCTATCAAAGGTCATCATGAAAAAGCCATAAATTGTGATGTCAAATAAATGTGATGCTTCAGTTTGCCCTGTTCTTAGATGACCTACCTGATCCTGCTGTGTCGTTTTTGTTGTGACACGCAATCAGGGATTAGGTCTCAAATTCTGATGTCAGTTTTAGTCTTCTGGATCATATTTCATGGTAAGTTCTGTTTTCAGTATCTGGCTTCCAGCAACAGGGAATATGTGGACCTTTCAGCCATGGCTCAGGACCTTCAAAGACTATACAGGCAAGTCATTTGTATCTAGCTCAAGCAAAACCAATGACTCTTCTTAACTGTGCTTTAATTTGTCCAACAGTAATTGTTGTTATCAGGATGAACCGTTAAATTAACACCAGTACTTCTGTTAAATGTATTAAAAATATTCCTTTTAAATGTTCAGTTATTCTACTGTGATTGATGTATATGAGGCAAAACACCTCCAAGTTAGAATTCAACAGAAGTACAATGTGCAGCCTCTAAAAATGAACATACAGTTCTAAAC